GCTGGTCTTGAACTCCTGACCACGAGTGATCCACCCACCTCGGCCTCCCAAAGTGCTGAGATTACAGATGTGAGCCTTTGCGCCCAGCCCTTCTAACTGCTTAAATACCCTGTTCAATACATATATACATATGTATTTAAATATGTATATATTTTAAAATCTTTTTGATATATATGATTAGGATGTTATATTGTTAAATGCCTAGTTAGCACATTTCACAAGATTTGATAGGTAATATTTTTATTGTTATGTAGCGGTATTTTATAATTTGCTTCATAGATTCGTTTTTAATTCATGAATTATTTACAGATAGAATTTTTCAGTTTCCAATATATATAATAAGGCAACATCCTTTGTGGTTTTAATTTTGTTGCTCATGGTCTGAATGATTTTTCTTTATAATATGAGTTTTTGGAATTTGTTAAAATTTCCGTTTTGGCCTATGTATCAGATCAGTTAAGGCTAGTTCTAAAAATATCAGAAGCTTAATCAAAAATATTTTTCACTCATGAAATCTAAATCAAATTCTCCAACTAAGAAGCATCTTCAGGATTCTAAGTTATTCCTGTATATTGACATCCCACCATTAATCAGGGAAGAAAGAGGCTGGAGGATTGTCCCTTAAATTTAGATGCTCCTGAAAACATTTAATACACTTTCACCCACATTCCATTGGCCAGAATTCAGCTTCACAGCCCATCGAACAGTAGGGATGACTGAGAAATGTAGTTTAACTATGTGTCCAAGAGGAAAGGGATGTAGTTAGGAGAAAACCAGCTGGTGTCTTTCAAACCATACATGTTAATTTTTATATATGTTCTTTCTTCACTAGAAAGAAGAAAAATCGATTTACTAGTTGAGTATGGAGTTCAATGCATCATGTCATTTAAAGTTGTTCATTGTGTTCTACAAATTATAGTCTTATTAACATTTTTTCCTTAGATTTATCAGATTCTAAATGAGAGGACTACACTTTCCCATCATGGTTGTGAAAATCTTTTTCCTTTTTTAAAATCAGAAGACTATATTGTTAGGCTCATATGATTTCGTATTATATTATCACATTATTCTTGTTAGTGTTCTTTGGCTTAAATTCTCTTCTGGCTAATATCAATAAACGCCTGCTTTATTTTGGATAAGTTTTGCTAGATATTCTTTAATTTCACATTTAGCTTCTCATGTTGTTTTAGGTTGCTATCTTACGAGTAGCCTATAATTAGATTTTAAAATATCCAATCTAATAGTTGATTTTCTGATTGATATGTTTACTTCATTTACATATTTATTATGCTTACTGCGTTTCATTTTGCCATTTTTTGTTTCTTTCTTGTTTTTATTGAATCAATAGGATTTCTCCCCTCTTTTTCTTTTTGAAATTGTGGATGTCATATATTTTCTTCCCTAAAGAGTCACACTCCAATATTTCATAACAAAGAATAAAGGTATCATATGTATGCATGCACATGTATGTATGATGAGGACCTTGACATCTATTGCTTTTATCTAAACTCCCTTATCCTTCATCTACTTTTAGTTTCCTTTTTCTTAAGGCATGTAATTATTTCTCCCTAACTTTTGGGCACAAAGCTTGTTTGATTTTATAATCAATATTTAATCATAATATTAATATGGTTTGTTTTATTTTGGCAATTTTGCTTCTCTTTCTGTTTCTTTTACATAAAATTGCATGTCACAAAAAGAGATAATGAGATTATTAACAGAGCTAAGCAAGCTTGAGGAAGAGAAAATTTTTCTTCCTTGTGACAGTTTCCTAGGTACTTTCTTATCTTCTAAGGTATTTCTTTTTCTGGTTCCTGGACAATCTTTTGTATATTTGGAGACCAAGAAGACAAAGAAATCATATTACTGATAAGGTTTGACCTAATTTATTATAAAATATAACCAGTTCATGAAGGATTTTAAGATTTGACCATCTCAAGGCAGTGATATTACGTAAAGACACTTGCACATTAAAATTCTTCTCCATAGGGCTAGAATTTTTTAACCTCAAAAAAGTAACTATAATGGGTGTTCTAATATAATTTCAGGTTTTGTGAAATAATCCCAATATAATAATTTACAGTTTGCTTAAGAGTTACTTAATGTTTTAACTTTATCTGCATTTGCTGTTTACAGACTTACAGTTATATAATGATTGAGTGGGAACTGAACAATGAGATCACTTGGACTCGGGAAGGGGAACATCACACACTGGGGCCTATTATGGGGCGGGGGGGAGGGATTGCATTGGGAGTTATACCTGATGTAAATGACGAGATGATGGGTGCTGTCGAGTTGATGGGTGCAGCACAGCAACATGGCACAAGTATACATATGTAACAAACCTGCACGTTATGCACATGAACCCTAGAACTTAAAGTATAATAATAATAAAAAATAAAAAGAGTTCTCATTCTTTCTGAAATAATAACTATGTTATTATTCAGGACTGACTTAAGATTCTTACAAATACACTAGAATTAAAAAAGCAAAATGACTGGTACTAATAGAAAAGAAAATAGAAAATGTTTATTTTGGATTGAAGTATGACTGAATATCTATAAAATGCAAGAGACTTTAAAATAAAATTAAAAAACAAATTTATTAAGTAGTTGGTTGTAGAGTGAATATGTGAAAATAAATGGGTTTTTATTTTATGTGATATGGGTAAAAAGACCCAGAGTGGTTAGATGTATAGATAGATAAAATAACGCCTTAAATATTCAACTGGCAAATGATAGCTTTGGAGAAAAATGCATCTGCAAAAGAGATGCTAGAGTTAATATTTATGTTATGGAAGAACTTCTTTTAAATTGGCAGAAAAAAATTCTCAGATTAAAATTAGCAGAGTATATGAATAGGTAACTCACTGTGGGACTAATTCAAATGGCACTGAATCCTGTGTAAAGATGCTGACACACTAGAGGATATAAGTAAATTGATTATTGTATTTATCAGACTGCAAAATTTAAAAGAGCTGTATTACCTGTTGCTGGTGGGGATGTGGCAAACATGAACAATTGGTTATTACTGTTATACAAGCAAATTATTACATCATTTCTGTCACAGTCATCGCATTTCAAGTACATATAACTTTTCTTTTGATATCCCAATTCTGTAACATGATTTCTTATAAATAAAAGTATTAGTAAGTAGAGATATATGTACACAGGTATTTACTGCAGAATTGTGCACAGTAATAAAAAGGAACATTAAGAGATTTCCCATCAGTAGAGGAATATTGGAATAATTATGGTGCCCCCACATTATGGTGTTGTATATAACTACCAAAATAGTGAATTAGAGTTATATCACTTAAATGATTTCCACAAAGTATGCAAGTACGAAAATCAACATGTGAAAAGGTGTTTATAATTGTTTTAATTGCAAAAAAAAAAAATCATCCATAAATGTGTTCATGTGTATGTATATTTACTTTTAATTATTTAGGCTTTAACAAAAAACATGAAAGATCTATCCTAAATTGTTATCCAACATTTGCTAGAAAGGAGTGATGAGTGTGGAGTAGCAGCAGAAGGGAAAAGGAACAACAAGCCAATATGTTAATACCTTAAGTATATGAAATAAAATGTATGTATAAAAAGTAATAAAATAAAATAAAGTGTATAAATAAATATCCACAGAACAAAAATATCTTAAAATCTAGAAAGTATGTTGTTCCATTTGCATATAGTTATAATGAAAAAAAAATTTAAAGACAATAATTAAGACTGTGAATGAAGTTAATACATCTCAACAAGATATTTGAGGAGATGAACGTTAAATCATTGGGAAATGGTAGATGCCTGACAACACTCTTATCTGGGAATTTTACATGAATTTCAAATTTAGCACTTGAGAGATATCTAGGTTCAGGTCCTCATCAAATGCATTCTCATTTATCTCATTATTATAACAGCAACTATAAGCAAGCACTCAGAGATCTATGTGTGAAAGATTTACAAATACTTGTACCCACCCCTGAAGCAGGACTCTTGAAACTATTTCTTGCTGCTAAATGATGGTTTTTATCTTCTAAAATAAGTTCCAGATAAAAGGAAACAAAATAGGGTGAAAAGGTCACAAATTGTACAGTTAACCAGGCATCAACTTTATTTCAGACTTTGCCACATTCTAACTGTGTAACGAAGAGTGTATAAAGACAATAAAGCCACAATTATCTCTCCATTAATGTACCATAGCTATATGTTGATAGCTGTCAATATCAATCAAATGGTTTGGATGATCAGAGGTCAGCCACTAGAGGAGTGGAGTTTGTCATAGCTTAGATTAGTTACCTGTGTGACCTTGAGTTAGAGATACTTCTGTTTATTCATCCCTAAAGCAGATATAATAGCAATGTTACCCATAGGGGTGTTGTGAGAATTCAGATGGATAATACATGTAAAGCACTATTTAGAGTGCTACACATACTAAAAAAGTATTCAATGGAAACAACCAAAAATAATTTAAAAAACTATCATATCCAGCTTGGCCTTGGAACATAGATCCAGGGGGAAATAATTGGGGCAAACCTCAGCTACTCAGGACTAATACTTTGGGCCTTTTTTTTTTTTCTGTGTGTGAGTGTATGTGTGTAAGGATGAAGACTAAATGTTGTGTATTAAGGAAAACTGTCCACCTTGAACCTAATGATAAATATGAAACAGTAACAAAACAGTAAAATAAAAAGCAGCCTTAGAAATGTGAAAGTTATCCTAGTTACAGCCATTAAGAGAGTTACTAACGATGCATTGTTTATTATTCAGCATATTATCTTTCCTATGCATTGCAACATACCAGCATTACTTTCTGTACAACTCTGGCCAAATCATTTGCTCTCTCATTACTTCCATCATCTCGGGATATCAATAAGCATCTTCACTAGAGAAACTCTAAGTTCTATTTCAGTTTTAAAATACTATGACTTTATGACCAAGAAAGGGTTTAACTCCTAGTTTTGTACTTAGAGTCAACACTTAAGAGAATCATGAAAGACCTCTTGTCCATGCTGATGTGTTTATTTTCTGAGTCTAAAGTCTTTCTCCTCCTCCTCATCTATATTCCCCATTAATTCTTCAAGTTTCTTCTCCAAATATTCCTTTAGTGACCTTCGTATTGCTTTCATTTTCCTCCGATGAAAGATGCAAAAATGGAATCTAGAGTAGGAAAAGAAAATAATCCCAACTTCAATATCAGTAGCCCCATTCTTTAAGCCAATTATACAATGTATTTTCCTTTGCTGGATTCTTCTCCATTTCCTTTTGTTCCAACTATTATCCCATCAAACTTTGCATTTTGTTCCTTTCAGTATCCCAGAATTTAAAATGACTTCTTTTGCCTTATTTCCATTTGGGGAAAGAGGCAATTTGGGCAGTCTCTTGGCAAAAGGAATATGTGACCCAGTGTTTATTTGGAGAGAGGAAACTCACAGTAACACAGCACTTCCCAGTATTACAACTGTTGCCAGCAATATGAGAAATAGAGCAATCTCTCGATTCTCAGCCTTCCTTGGATCCTCATCTGGAAGGAGAAACAGGAAAATATGAAAGTGAGTTTGGAGAAGAGAAATAGCTTGGGACATTTACTCAGAATAGAAAACTCTTTTAACCTCAGTTTGCCCTGTTTACTACTTCATCACTCTTCCACGGTTATTTTGACCTTTATTACTTTTAGTCTCCTAGGTTCTACAAAACTGTTGCTGATAACTGTCAGCAAAATTCTTCCCAGCCTAATTTCTTCATTCCAAGCCTAGCCTCTTCATTTCTCAGCCTTTCAATTGATTCAGTGCCAAATTATTTATACTGGTCAAAATTTCACCCAACACCCTAGTTCCATTTTGTAACACTATCATGACCTCCATTGAAGATGCTCTACAAGTATGTATTGAATAAATCAGTGAACAACCCTTCTCCTTGATCCCTGTCCCTTCAAAATTCCATACCACAATCTTTGTTACCTCCACAATATTCTCCTTTGAAGCACCTGTTGGTTATGCGAAGACACATCCAACAATCAAGTATGGGACCTTCAACCACAACTGATAAAGAGGAAAAGAAAGATAATCAGAAAGAGGACATGGCACGAGAGTTCCTTAGTCATACACCAAGTGTGGTCTTGGTGGACCAAAATCTGTAAGTCAGATCTCTAGGAAAAAGTGGGAAAAGGATGCCTTGGCTTATACTGGGGCAATGGGTTGTAAACCATATGTTAGGAGGCCTCCTAGTACCTCCAAAATATGTGGGGTGTCTGAGATTTCATGAGCTAGGTTTTGTTATCAGGTATTATTGACATTACCCCTTGTAACCACAGCTCTAGGAATTGGATTCCCAGTGTAACAGGTGGGAGAGATAGGGCCATATAGAGCAAAGGAGATGGGAAAATATGGGCTGAAACCTCAAGGCATCACATGTACTGTACTCACTGCAATCTTCAGAACACGCTAGAAGAGAATCAGAAGGTTCTAATGAGTTTAAAACCAGCTACAGTTTGTCATATTTATACCCAAGTAGTCTTTGTTTACCCTTTAAGTTCCAGTTGCCTCTCCACCCATTCTAAATAACTCTATTATGAACTTGCATTTCTTCCCTTATCCCTCATTTTCTATTCCCTTCATATAACTTCAGTGCTGTTATATAGAAAGTTTTAATTACCAACTTCAGAGAAGTTCTTTAGTAATTCTTTCAGTTTGGATTCCAGGTTTTGGCGGACCTCCAGAAGCTTGCCTTGAAAGATAAAGACACCTAAGAGGGAGTGGAAGGGGTATCAAACAATAGAAGTAGCTCTTCCCTTCAGAACTTAATTCTGTTTTGTTCTTTGCTTTCTCCAGCCAAATTTTCTGAGGGTTGCTTGAGCAATACAGACTTTTAACATTGAAGCAGTACCTCACCTTTCCATGTTTCATTGCCCAGTTTATAAAATTCATTCTTCAGCCATGTTCTCAACTTAACAACCTGTTGAACAGCTAGAGAGGAAGGGTAAAGGTACATGTAGGGGAATAATTATATCTATGTAGCAAGTTATGTAGACCCAGGTGTTCTCTTCCTTGCCTCCCTTCTCTATTTAAGCCCCTGGACTCTCAGGAACTCAAGCTTCCCTCACCCAACACCCGAAGCCTCTTGTCACTGTGGGAGACCTTGAAGCTTAAACTAATCATCTCCTTAATCTGCCATTCAAGCAGCTGAGTTTGGCCAGGGACTTCTGAGGGTATCAGATTTGCCAGCAAGGAGCCAACATCCTCTATAAATTTGGGGTCACACTCTAAACAGCCTTTGACTCCATGGAAGGCTGACAGGGGCAGGAGCAGGAATAACCACAGGTCACCCATTTCTTTCTTCAACCCCGCTCCCCAACAGCAGGTTGTCCTGGCAACTAGTTCACTTAGTTCCTTTTCCTTCAAAAATCCAGGAATGAGAGCCTTGTCCTGGATAGTCTGACTCCACTTAACCCCCACCCCCATCTCCATCCCACTATCAGGCAATCTCATTTCCTTAAGGATCTTCAGTTGTTTACTGATTCTTATCCTTCATTCTAGGAGAGGGAACTGCCAGCTGGGGAGCCGATACCTGAGTTCTAAGTGTAGAACACCAAGAGATAGATAAGCCTTGAGCTCATACAAGCAGAGTTCTTTGCAGGGAGATGTCTCAGAAAAAAGTGTTTCTTTAGCCCTCTCCCTGACTTGCATCCTCATGAGACTCTTAAACCCCCTCCTGACCTTCAGAGATGTGTATCACCAGAGATGGGTTGTAGAAGTGATCCTATAGAACCTGAGAGATTGCTTAACCCAAAGTCTACTTCCACATTGGAGGCAAGAAAAGCCAAAAATATTGAGTTGCTTGCAGGTCCCAGTCCCTACTGGTGGCAGTATTATTGAGAATAAAGGAATGAGCATTTATCTAGAATAATATTTGGTAATTTTAATAGACAGTAACTTATATTTCAGGTTACATTTGTCTCTAGGATGATTCCTCTATACATGATTTGTAATATTTCTTTCTTTTCTTTTCTTTTCTTTTTTTTTCTTGAGATGGAATTTCACTCTTGTTGCCCAGGCTGGAGAGCGATGGCATGATCATGGCTCACCTCAACCTCTGCTCCCAGGTTCAAGTGATTCTCCTGCCTCAGCCTCCTGAGTAGCTGGGACTACAGGCATGTGTCACCATGCCTGGCTAATTTTGTATTTTTAGTAGAGATGGGGTTTCTCCATGTTGGTCAGGCTGGTCTCGAACTCCCAACCTCAGGTGATCCACCCACCTCGGCCTTTCAAAGTGCTGGGATTACAGGTGTGAGCCACTGTGCCTGGTGATTTGTAATCTTTTTATAGCATTCTTATAGAGAGTGTGGAGTCAAATACTAGAAACAATAGTTGAGGAATATAGAGTGATGAATCCAATAAAGTTCAGATCCTTTAACAAGTGCATTCTAAAATACTGACAAAGTATGTAACATAAGAACATAATTATCATGGGCTGCCCTCTCAGGCCACCTACATGGACGATGGCCAAATAAACATGTTCTTCCTTCAGTGGCCCTCTGAATAAAAATATTCTATGTTATTTGAATAAATTAAGGTTGCTTTTCTGACTCTTAAGAGCACTGGTTACCTCTTTTCTAACATGTTGCCTGCATGGCTGTGACCTCCTGGAAACCAGGAAACATTGGCAATCTATAGGTTTCGTGGTAGAATTTATATCTAAGATATGGGGTGATCACAGTGGAATGTTGTGAGGGAAGTTAAAAGAATTACCATTACTTATATGTCTACCACGTCTACGTGACAGATATTGTGCTAAACACTTCAGATAGTCACAAATTTTCAGAGCACAGCAATCCTTTGGAGATTGTTATTTCTACATTACAGAAAGAAACTGAGGCTGAGAGATGTAAAAGAATTTCCCTGGAAGAATAATTTAAGAGTATGAGTTCAGGGTTCAAGCTCATGTTTGTCTGATTCCAAATCCTATATACTTTACTGCCTCTCAACAATGACTTTCTGGGATAATACAGAAAATTATCTCTTGGAATTTGATAAGTAAAAATATCAAGGCAAATATAGATTTCTTGGTTTATAGTTTAAATTAGCATCTCTATGCTCAGATTTTTTTTTATTCTCTTGGCTAGATGATCTCATCTTTAGAGGATTTCCCAAAAGATTTTCACATGCTGAGGTCTGAAGGCAAGTGAGCTAATAGGACTAAATTAACTCTAGATACTAAAGTTGAAAACTAAAGGGGCTAAAAAACTTGGCAGAGAAGTGGCAAGGTATGGAAACAAACTGTGCTTCAAGAAAAGATATGCATTATAGATATTTTCCAGTCAATGATCCATACCATTACTTGAACAGTTCGAAGAGTATCCTCTGCCACATTACTGAATAATTCAATGGCACCTTACTTTAACCCAGACCTAGAGGTCCATCTATCATTTTTATCATTGTCTCACCCTTCCAGCTGAAATTTCAGTCAGGTTTTTAGGATGAGAGAAAAAGAAATTGGCTTTTGGATAGTCTTAGAAAGACTAGAAAAAGGCAAGTCGCTTCTTAATAAGACAGGTAGAATTGTAATTGAAAGAATACATGTATCTCATATAAAAGAAATAACAAGGAAATCTCAGACTCATGGAGTAAACAGTAGACAGATAAAACAATGTGCTAATGGTAAAGGTAGAGGTACATATCGAGGTTTATGAAAAAACAGAACAGTACTAGACAAGTCTAGAGAAATTTTTATAGAAAGGCTGGATCCAGGAGACTAGAGACAATAATTAATATATCATGATGAGTGAGAATTCAGTAGTGTTCAGGAAACTTTAGGGGGAACACTCTGAAAGCACTGGTGGTGAAATGTATAACATAAGAAAATAACCACCATTATTATGGGGAGAGCACTTTGAATTTCATAAATGTAAAATATTCGAGCTTTGGGAAAGAAGAACTGTCTGGAAATTGATTAATAATATAATGATCACATTACTTAATTAAAATAATACCTGTGTCTCGGAGGCAAAAGGCTAACACCCAAATCCTAGAATAATTATGTTAGTATATGGTTTGACTTGGCAGGAAGAGCTATGATTTATAGTCAGTACAAATCTGCAGACTATCTAGCTAAACTCTGTTTAAAATAGTATGAGAGATAAATAATGGCATATACATTCATAATATTTTACCAACTACTTATTGACTCATTTGTGGCTCTAACATAAATAAGATATTCATGGGTAGTTGTAAGAGTCCCTCCTTTGAGGGCTAGAATCAGTTGTTTGGTACCATTTGGCCTTTGTTACAAATCACATAATGCACTGAGGTTTGAAATTTGAAGAACAAGTTTCATAAAGATTAAGATTTTTACGGAAATTCTCCCTCATCCAATGGTATATCTGATTTCTCAGATTTGTTAACAAAAATAATGAATCCTTATCCTCAAGCTTCTTATAGCCATTTTTCTGATGGATAATTTACGCTGTTGAGCTCTGCTCTATTTCCCATCCCTACCTATCACTTCACAGGATTTTTTAAAAGTTTGGCAAATAATCTAGATACCTTTTACAGTCAGATGCAGTTAACTACATTCCTGACTGTAATCTGAGATCAAGAAGCCATTACTTGACATTTGATCAAGTTATAAGCTATATTTCTAGGTAGCGTAATAATTGTATTTGAAATAATTACTATATACCAGACATTTCACATGTAGAGTAAATTTAATTTTCTATATACCTCCCCATTTATATTCTATTGTCATTAAGCTAATTTATCTCCACATATTTCACTTATCCTTTAGGAATAGTCACAAGGGTGGGTAAATTATAGGGTAGACCAGAAGAGTTACAAGGAATCTTTGACAGGAAATGAAGTAAAAAGCTAATCACATCAAGGCGATTGTGGGAAGAATGAGGGGAGAAGGGTAGTGGAAGCAGCAGATATGTGTCACAGCTTATTTTCTCTTTATGCTAGAAATGTTAAGTAAAATCCTCATATTCCATGAGCTTTTGCCCTGTTCCCTTTAAGGGCTTTTACAGGATAGGTTAATAGAAGGTGCTCCTGAGATGATGTCAGTTCCTATGTGGCATGGAATGTCTAAGATGCTTCCACTGGCTGCTGGGGAAGGATGTACAACTCAACTCAGGATCTGACTGGCACCTTTGCTGGCATATCATCAAGGTTTCAGGTAAAGGGACGCTGTGTAACAGCTGGAAAGTGGACCTGGTACCAGGGTCAGGAAAGGAAATGGAGTCTGCAGCAGGCTTCAAGGCCTTGATGAGCCAGATCATTAGGAAAGACCACCAGTTCCTGACACAATTGAGAGAAAACAGGTCCAAAGTGCCCCATGTGCAGAGTTTCTCAACAAACACTATAAATAGATTCAGAAATTGTATTAGGTAAGGTTATATCTTCACCTTGGAAGAGACCCACACACTGTCAAAAAACTAAAACACACATTAGTGGAGAAATTTACTGAGGGGAAAAAAATCTGGAGTTTTTAAACCCCTCTCTAGAAGGAGAGGGAGCCATGGTGGCTATATTTACTACATTTTAACATGCTAGATAGGAAGGATTGAGTCCATGACTGGACTTGTAGTTGGTTAAAACAAACCTGGATTTTGGTGATTGTTAAGGTGTTTTAACCTGGCTCAAGAAGGTCTAGGATCCCAGAGTTACTCAGACTTCATAGTTTCTTATCAATTTCAGGAGGTTGGAGCTAGTTGGCATGAAACATAAGTTTTGATATGTTGTAGGCAAATGCTACTGTAAGTGAAAAACTTTCTTCTACATGCGACACATCCAAGGCAAGGACCCCTCAACCACACAGTGCCATGAGGTAACATCAGCTCCTACCTCCTCATTCTTATGTCCTGTTTGGGAAGAAACGAGGAAAAATATGAAAGGATAATTCTTCCAAAGGAAATGTAGTTATCTAAAAAAAAGTGTTTAAATTATTTGGTGAGATTAGGTTTATTATATTATGCTAATATTGCTTTTTATTTTTTACCCAAGGAGGTGAAAAGATGTTTAGAGAAAGCTAAGACCAACAGACTATGAGGAAGCTATGTCTCTTTCATGTATCTTAGAGCAGTGTGAATAAATGTGTGACCTTGCTACATAAATGTCATAATATTTTATTCTCAAGCTTGCATGACTATTTCCATTTTATAAAATACAAGCCTGATGTTTGGAGCCATTAAAGGACTTATCCAAGGTCACACACTTAGTAAGATAAAGATTTGGGGGTTGTAACACGAATTTGTCTGCCTTCAAATCCATGTTCTTTTTAAAACACCAACATTTTTTTCTGAAGAGAGTTAATCCAAGGTCACATCATTATTGCTTCAAAGTAGCAAGAACAGGTATTCTTGAAATGAAATTATATTGGAGAAAAAAGAAAGATGCTGTGTTCTTTTCATTCAATTATTTAAAAATTATGGAGTCTGTAATTTCAACCATCATTTAATTTTCTCCCCATAGCCAATTCTTTTTTCCATTCCTCCCAATTATTTCTATAGAGGAATTGCCTGTTGATTAAAGTACATAATTTATTTAAAAATGCATATCAAAGATATAGATATTAACGTAGTT